TCCTCTTAAGTCTCAGCAGCCTGCAGTGGACACAGCCCTAGCGTAAGTGGCTTCAAGTCGTAACTGTATGTCAAATATTTCTGTTCGGGCCGACTCAAATATGTATTTATAATTTTGCTATTTATATTTGAGATAATTTCCAATTCAAATTTGGCGAAATCACAGTATCAAAGACTAAGCAAAGTTGACGCCCTTTTGACTTCCAGCCGTTGCTGGGACGATGTTGGCCTACTCAAGTTACTGGCTTTTGAGCTGGAACAACAAATTGTAAATGCCAAAACTTAGTTAACCATACTTTATGTCGTAACTTAGCCTTGGCCCGTCATATTGACTGAGCAAAGTTTATTTGACTTTTGCAAAGTTCTGCTTTATTTACTTAAACGTCGGATGCACTTACAGCGTTGCTCTGTAGACCAGCTGCGTATGCGGCTGTGGTTCAGATGTTGTTTCGGGCTTTTCGACTGCACTTTCTGGTCATCAGCGCCCGTTGGCCCATTCATTAGGGCCACCTGGCTGTAATGCAAGGCGTTGTTGTAGTGCCACTTGCAAATTGCCTTTGACGTCGGACAGCCGCACGCAAACTGCGTGCGTTTTGGCAGAGCGCAAATGCCAACTGCTGGATCGTGGTCGGAGTTTAAAAGTTGTGCTTTTACTGTGTCGGGCCATATAAATTGAAACTAGCAAATTGTGGCTTCATTTAAATTAATTAACAGCAATTGAACAAGGGCAAAGGACCAAGGACACGGGACAACCAATGTAAATTGGAGTATCCGGTAGCCGTTAGCTACTGAACTCCTAGAACTCGGACCAATTTTTAAACTTTCCCTCAGCTTCACGGGCAAAACAAACAACTTTTGCTAACAACTTTTGTTATTCAAAATCAACAGCAAATTGCATCAAAGGGCACTAAAAGCAAAAAGTAGCAAGCCAAGTTTTTAATACAATATAGCCCGTTAGAATGCGGTAATGGACAGGGCGAGAAGCTTCCTGTAATATTCACACAGCAAAGCCATAAAATATGCAATTGATTGATGACACGGGCCAATAGAACATAGGCCAATAGAAAGCAGGCCAACAGAAATAGTGAATTTCAATACAGAATTTGAATTATTATTAGCTTAAAGTGTTAACGACACGTTTCGTGTCGAGAAAATCAATAATTCGACTCATAAGGCAAGCCGAGCAAAGTTGTGCCAGGTTTTGAGTAAATTTTAAAGAGTTAATGAGCCTGAGCCTGAGTGGTGCAACAATCGAAATGTGCCCTCAGAAATATCAGAACTGCAAACCAAATATATAATTTCAGGCTATGTAATTTACCTGTAAGGTAGGCAAACTCCAACTGATAATATTATAAAGTCCGATTCAGTTGGTCTGGGCCGTACTCAAGCAAAGCCTTGCTGATCCACTTTCCTGTGATCCTTTGCACATGTGTCATGAGGTCGCGAGTCGTGAGCTAAGCAATCGATATGAGAATTTGAGGACAAGTAATGTGGAAAGCTTAGATAAGTGAGGCGCCGGTCGGCCTTTGCGTTTAGCCAATCATATTTAATAGATCGTAAATGCAGGACACGGACAGACGACCAGCCGCAGTCGAGTTAAATTACGGCGTAAATGACAGCGACAACGTGAAAAATTATGGCTAATGGCAGTGCGAGGCGTCATCAGCAGCCACAGGAAATAAAATGGATCGAAATGGAATGTTCGCAAACAACAGCAGCAGAGAGTGCATGGGCGTTTGACATGCGTGGGCAAATGGGCGTGTCGCTGGTGGCATGCGGGGCATTCGGGGCGTGCAGCATGCAGCGCAGGCCAAACTAAAAGCAGCAACACGAACAGCAGCAGCACGAGTAATGGGAATTGAGAAATGAGAAATGGCTAAGCTGCATAAGCATTACCTGCCACTGCCACTGCCACAACACGCAACTCCATTTCAGCAATTTACAATTCAATGAGCCTGCATTCGAGCCAGCAATACATATCAATCGCAGTCGCCAGTGGGACCACGCTCAGCGCCGGTCACAAATAAGCCAAATTTAACAAGCAATAAACCAATTTTCATACATAGAAGCCAATTGTAGCATATTTTCAATGTTTTACTCAAATCCCAACAGGTCAAACGAACTTGCGCCCAATAACAAAACTCGACATGCGACACGAACCCAGTTACTAAGCGTCTATTTTGGTAAAGGCACAAGAGAAGCTTAACTAAACTGAATGTCGAACATATAATACTCTATATATAGCGCTCATCAATCAGTACTGCATATAAATATATATATGCGCAGCATCACTCGATTTGCATAGATATTGAGCGCTTACGAACCTCGAATATTTCTACTGTAAATCAAATCAAAAAGTCAACTATAAAGCTAACTAAGCCTCGCAGCGTACCAAAAAGTTGTTGTAACTCGTAACACAAACAGTTTGGGCAGTATATTGACAATTCTTCGACTAAAATAACAAATACAAGCGCGCTAGGCGGGAGTGCTCGACTAGAAGATACCCTGAGCTCGGCGCACAGCAAATATTTTAATGATTCTACGTTTCATTTGCATACACATATAACAGGCTCTACAAGCACACACACACACACACACACACACACACACACACACACACACACACACACGCACACACACACACACACACACACACACACACACACACACACACACACACACACACACACACACACACACACACACACACGCACACACACACACAGATACATCTTGAAGTCTCTAGCTGTTGGCCAGCTCGACTCAAGAGTAGCCGAGGCTCTGCCACGCCTACTTCTGCCTGTTACATGCTAATATACATAACTAATATACCCAAAACTGGCATTTTCCATGGGCCCAGGGTATAAGAAAGCAAATAAAATTTAATCGAATTTAGGCTTAAGTACGCTTTGTATGATTTGAATGGGCCTAAGAAGCTTCCAGCTCAGATCGATTGAAAATATAAAAAATATTATGGAAACATGTAATAATTCAGCGTAACGCTTCAGTCTGAGCCGTTCTTAGAGAGCAACAGCTAAAAGTTGAACAGTTTAAAGTTCGTTTTACCGATTATGAATCTGGACGACTGGTTTTCGTGCTAATCTTCTAGCATTCGAGCCCTTTAAATTGAATTGCTTTAATGAGCGGCCGAGCTGAGCGCCCAGAGCGCAAACGGAATTGTGCGACGTGCACAAAATAAAAAACAATTACTTAAATTTTATTTACATTTTGAAATCTTTTGGGGCCCTAGCCAAGGCAATGCCATGGGAATTGCTGTATAGAGACGCTGCTACCTAGATTCTAATTGGGAATGTGCCTCTCTGCCGGCGCCTCTCTCTTAAATTTTCCTATATTTATCATTTCCATAAAATTTGCATGTTTATTTGTGGGCGAACTCATTGAACCATGGTCAGACGCGGCGATGCGACGACACGACGTAGCTAAATTTAATTTTGTTGCTTTGTTAATGAGCTTGGCTTGTTTAACAATTTCGGCCACGCTCAGCTAATGGGTTGCCGCTGAAACAACACCAGCAACAGCAACACACACATTTCCATTTGGGGCCCAAAAAAAAAAAGTTGCGCCTCCTGCAAACAGCAAAGCCGCTCTCGGCACACGGCCTTAATCCCTTGTGCCAATGCCCAAACCCAACTAGTTACTCTGTGTAGGCACAAACCCACACACCCACACACACGCACACTCGTGTCACTGTTTGCTTTCTATCTGCAAGCCAGCGAATGCAAAATTTATTCTGACGTAACGCAAAGCCTAATTCTCTATATGCATACATACATACATACATACATACATACATACATACATACATACATACATACATGCATACATACCTACATCTATGTTTTTTTCTTACTTTGTGTTTTTTGATTTTGCACGTAAGTCAACAAACAGATAGTTGCTCTGCTCCTCACTGCCCTCTGCTCTTTGACTGGCTCATCATCATCAGCAGCCGCAGTCGCCTGGCTGGGCGCAGGTAGCTCAAATTGAGTCGTCCTCGCCAACTAGGCACTGGGCAATGATGTATGTGGCCAAGAGCGAAGGTGGCTCGACTTCATTATATGGCGGCAGGCGGCATGTAAATAACGTTAGCGCCGGCCAACATTTGGCCATTATCATTACCGTTGTCCGTGCTCAAATGGATCACATTTGTTATGCCCAGCGGCGGCGGCCAAACGTAGCCCGAATTAGTTGCAGCCAAAAACCGCAAACCCAAACTCAAACGTAGTTAGAGCCCCGGCATAAATTAGCATTTCAACATGAAATGAGCAAAAGATGCAACTCGTGTGGCTGCCTCCCAAATGGCATCCTGAAATTTGCTTCATTTAGCAAGAGGATATATTTTTTAAAGGCTTACAGCTATGAGCTGGCAGCTCAGCTTTATTTAGCAATCCATTTAGCTGCGGAAAGGTGCGTTAAGTTGAGCTTGGCTTGATATTTTAGTATAAATATTTAGAGTAAATTATGAAAATTAGTATCAAAATAATGATTCTGTACGTCAAATTCACCTGGTCTAGAATGATGAATCCCATTTCTGTTTGAGTGTGTATTAAATAAGCAGCATTATTTCCTTCGAAGTGAGTAGCATCCACAAGCTCTGCTAGACACGCTATTGCAGCTGCGGATAACTGTTTGGCGCGCTTTATGATGATATCATGATATCATGCTTGGTCATGATTGATCGCGCCTTGTGCACGCCAGCCCAGGCAATTGCATAATCAAATTCATATTAAATTATAAATGTCATAAATTTATCTATATGATTAAGCTCATTTAATTAATATTAAGAATTTATTTTATATTTTAATTTTACTTTAAACTTGTGTCACTCTATGCAAAACACCAAGACACCGAGACTTATCGATGACAAACGACACAGTTATCGATAGTTTGTTGAAATTTTCTTAATTCAGAGCTGTCATTTGTCTCCCATGTCACAATTGCTCACCTATTGATATCTCACGATCTTTGTTCTTCTTGCTGCAGCCGCCTCTGTGGCCGTCTCCTCGTGGACGCTGGTGGCGATATCCTGCGAGCGCTACTACGCCATTTGCCATCCGCTCAGATCCCGCACCTGGCAGACGATCAACCATGCCAACAAGATCATCGCGTTCATTTGGCTGGGCAGCCTGGTCTGCATGATGCCCATTGCGATATTCAGCCAGCTGATGCCGACCAGTCGCCAGGGTGAGTAGGCCACACGTCTAGTCGAGTTCAGTTTGTTAGCCATTTCCGTGACAGGCTTGCGCAAGTGCCGCGAACAGTGGCCCGTCGGCTCCTTGGGGTATGAGCGCGCGTACAACATCTTCTTGGACTTGGCGCTGCTGGTGCTGCCGCTGATGGCTCTCAGCTTTGCCTATCTGTGCATCACGCGCACTCTCTATGTGAGCATGCGCAACGAGCGCGCCATGAACTTTGGCAGCAGTGGCCCCGACGTCGGCCTCACCACCAGCAGCAGCAGCAACAACAACAGCTGCAGCGGCAGCCGTCGCGCCTTTGGCAGTTCCAACTATCTGATGCGCATGCAGATGCGGCAGGAGGCACTGGCCGCTGACAGTGCGGCACAGCTGGACATGCTGCTGCAGCAGCAGCAGCAACAACAACAGCAGCAACAGCAACCATGTGGAGCAGGCCAATATTATTATGGTAAGTCGATCGATATGTGCTTGAGAGAAGTGCTTCAATTAGGGGGAAATTGATTTGGCGTTCTCCCTCCCACTCCCATTCCCACTCCCATTCCCTCCCGCACTCAGAATGTGTGCGAGTTGAAAGTCAGTGCACGACAGCTTCAATTGCCAGACTTTGCCGCATTTCTGTGCTCTCTAACGTTACTGAAGTATTTTGTGCTCATTCACGCTGCCGCGCCCACACACGCCAGCTATACAACCAACCAGCACAGCATCCACCCAGCCACACACACACGCCCACACTCTCAGGCAATTTGCATGGCAAAATCATTCACGCGAAAAATGTGATTCAGCATCCTACTTTATTCAGCGCACAATACTTCGGGCAGCTCTGCCGCATGGCTAACTAGCCGCGTTACTCATACGCCGCATCGGACGGCCGCTGGTGTGGCGATAAATCGGCTGCCGTTGAATTCAATTTGATTTCGAGCATTTGATAAATTCAAGTGAGCCACTCAAATGGCCTTTCATTCGCATCGATATCGCACAGAGCTTTAAATGCCTTAACTATAAAACGTGCCGCCAACGAGGCAAGCGCACATTATGCTTAAGCTTAACCAATATTGCCAAACTGTTTACCATTTGCGATATTTGAATGCTCGCGGTCCCTCTTTCCCCCTCTCTCTTTCTCTCTTGCTAGCTGTCAATCAATTAAGATTTAAAGCCTACTCAAAGTGGCTCATAAAACGCAAAACATTTCATAGTTCGCCAGCACCGACTCCGGCAACATTCGCGTTAATTAGAAGCTGTTTAGTTCTATGTGCAAATAAAATGTAATGCGCTTAGTTCTTTTTCAGCGGCCGCCCAAAAGTATGCCCGAAACAAAGCGACGCGACACGCCCAATCCAGTTTAGGTCGACTTGCATGAGCCGGCGACGCGTCGCCCTTTAATGACTAAACAGAAATTGCATATTAGCATAAAGTTGCGCTTACTTACTCGGGCACAGTTAATGAATTATCATGGGCCGGGTGCGGCCGTAAAAGGATGCTGCCCGGCCGAGTTGGAAGTCGCAGTTCCATTTCCGGTTGAGCATTTTGAGCGGGCCGGGCTCAGCGAAAGGGTCAACGCAAATATCGTAAATTATGCTGGGGTCGAGCATTTAAACGCTCGTTAAATGCCCGGTTATCTCCTTTATCGACCCAAAAGGCCCAGCGCAAATTAGTGCGACCAGATTGCTAGCTGCCTCCGCAAATGGTGACACATTCTCACATGCCACATGCCACACGCCACATGCACAAACACAAACACACACACATTAACGGTTACATCACATTGCCGCAAAGAGCACCTTAAACAGAAAGACACGCTCCAATGCCGCCAGTTGATGATATATTTTATTAAATTTTTTAAAAACCTATCCAATTTACGGCCGCCACTTAACATTTTTGTGTCATAAATTTTGGAGGCAAACTGGCAGCGAGTCCTGCCCGGGCCGAGGGCGCAAATGTTTTATTACACTCAACGCAAGGCTTTGGCGCTCTCGTTGGTAATTTGCATAACCAAGTCTAATATAATTAGAGTCCTAAACTCATAATATTTGCTCTGGCTGCGCCACTCATTAGGGCCTGGCAACGGGTATCCACAATTTTTCGCCTTCGACTGACTTAGCTATATCTCAGCCCTGCAGTTGCCACTGCCCGTCTAGGTAGAGGCACGAGGGTATCTCAAGTTCATCATATAAAACTCAAAGCATACTTTTTGTCGTATTTTAATTACAAGCGACGCACAGTGGGGCTGCTGCCCCCAAAGCCTGGCAAAATCCAAATGTTAATGGAAGCAAATAAATTATAAAATCTGATCTAAAAGATAGATAAATGTTAAGGTTAAATTATAAGCATTTAAAGTTTACTTAATTAATAGTCTGAAAAAAATAATCGATTTACGGAATTGCATGAGTTTTTCTATAGAACTAAATATTATTGTAAATTGTGTGTATTTAGAATGAAATTCAAGAAATGAAGTTATATAATTGAGTGACTGAGCAGCTTAACCTTAATAGACTTCTATATTGTAGACAATAACTCGAAAGTACTGAATTGGAATATTCTCAGAATTATCTACTTTATCCGGCTTATACCATTTTGGTATAGCTAAAAAACATTATTATTTTTTACTTTTAATTTTTTAAAATATTTTTTTTATTTTGTTTTTATTTTTTTTTATTTTTTTTGTTCAATTAAAAACTCTTTTTTTTTTGGATATATTTTAATTTAGTTTTTTAATTTTGTTTTTATTTCTCTTTAATTTTTTTTTAAATATATTTTTCCTAATCTTTTTTTTTTAATTTATCTTTTTTGATACATTTTTTTTTTGTTCTTTAATTTTTTTTATATTTATTTTAACATTATTTTATTTTTTAAAATATTTTTTTTTTCATATTTTAAAATATTTTATTTTTATTTTTAAATAATATTTGTTAATTTACAACAAAAACCTCTATTTATATTTTACAGCTATAAACGGTAAATAAATTTTGATAAAAATCAACAGAAAATGAGCAATGGCCCCACTGTGCGAGGACTTAGCAGCCTCGGATATACATATAATATTCATTTGCAATGGGAAAGATGATTTCTTAATGTGTCTTTCAAATTTCTTTGCTCGTTTGCGAGCTGCAGAAGAGTATATTGGCTGCGCACAGCAGGCATGCTGTCAGTCTTCTGTCCATGTTGGATCACTCACTTCACAACTGCATGAGCGAGCATTAGGCAGTCAGTTGGACTCAGCTACATATATTCTTGTGCCTGCAATTACATTTGCGAACTTCTTAGACATTTCGCTGGAAAGTCTAATAGGAATTTGGAGGCATTACAAACTTGACGTTTCCTCCTCACAATACAGCCTTAGATGCATTTATTAAAGAGGAAATTAAAAAATATGAACATAAATAGCAACAAATGCGAATCAAGAATCGGCATTCGCTTTTAACTTCCTACATCTCTCGCTATATTGCGCCAAGTTATAGTCATCGGCAGCGATCAGCTCTGCTAGATAGGCGGAAACTATTAATCCGAGCTGAGAATCTGGCTCTGGCTCTTCTCACCTGAGGCATCTATCGAGCGCTGCGTATTGATGGGCACAGAGTTATCGGCGCTGATGAGACGCAAGCGTGCCGTCAGCTCATCATCGGCTGCTGCTGCTGCAGCCAGTGCCATAAAGTGCCGTGCAGCGGCCACGCGCCGCTCGAACTCCACCTGGCGTCGGCGATCGTTGGTGCTCCTCATCGCCGTGCGGTAGATCAGGTCCAGTAAGCCGCTGCTGTAGCCGCTGTCGAAGACGCGATCGCGCCCGCTGCGCTGCTGCCATCCGCCCAGCAGGTCATACGGATACTGCCCTGTTGAGGAGCAGCAAAACCATGTAGCACAGTGTAGCAAAACTTACCCGTCTGGCTCGTTGCCGTGGTTGCACGCTGCTCACCTGGCTGCTTCGTCAGCACATCACACGACAGCTTAATACAAACTCCCGCTGCAATCAGCAAATGCTTGAAAGGTCCACTTTAAGTGGGCGCCACTTACCCCATGCAACAATCAATAAAAATAACAGGATCTGCAGCCACAAACGCCAGTTAAACATTTTCGTTGCGAGAAAGAAAATGTTGTTCGACTTTGTCGAACATATTTTCAAATAAAGCTGTGAATGCTAGTTCCAACTTCGATTGGCGTCCAATCGGACTCCAATTGGAATCCGGCGGGCTTCCGCTGTGCTTACCCACGCTATGCATAGAGCTCCTAGATCGCAGTCAGCTCAGTTTCCATACACTTTTGACAGTCGCCGATGCGTGCGGGCTGTCAGATGCACCGCTGCGTTTGCTGAAGACGTTCAAAGTCAAGGTCCTGTCCCTATCAAAAGGTTAAGTCTAATTTGGCTACAGCTGGCTGCACTTAATTCGCTAATTAGTCTTCAGCCCGCGCTGGCTGCAGTATGCAGCTGGTTATATAATACGAAGTTTTCAATGGCAACTTAAATTTAAAGAGACCGCACAGTCTGTGCAATATGTATGCGCACCGATGTTCCAATAACCAGCTGAAGCGTGATGGGGCTTCCAGCGGACACCCGCTGCCAAACCCGCCCAGCCAGCTGCCTGGCTTCAGGCATTGTTCGTCCAACAGAGGACACAGGTTGGCCTGGTTGAGCGCATGGCCAGCGCTAGCGGCAGGGCCTTTGTGCCATGGTCCGAAACAACCAGTGACCGGTGCAGCGCAAAGAGGTGCAGCAGCCACGCTGCCGGCAGCCTTTGCCACGTGCCACAAACGAAAAACGAAAAGCTGATGCTGCGCGCAACTCACTGCCTCCAGCTGTATGGCTTGACAGCTCCCGACACCCAATGCCCAAGCTAATCAGCTAATTAAAAGCAACAAGCGAACATCGCTCAGTATACCCACATATGACATTCTGATATCCTCACACATCCTCAGCCAGGAGCATGTGTCCAACTGCAACTGATAAGCCGCACTCAGCCAGCTCAGAGTTGCTGTGGCACGCCAAGCCAGGGCATCTGCCGGCACATGCTCCATATTTTGTGTATGCAAATTTGTTTTTCCATTAGCAAGCATGCGAGCTCTTAGCTTGCGATTATAAACACTTCAATCAATTCGTGATAGCTTGAAGTCAACTCCAAGAATCGTCTAATCACATTTCTCCCACTCCGGCCAATGGCAACGGATTCTGAGTGCACATAAATAAAGTCAAAAGGCTTTAGGCCAGAGCTGTACATACATATACGTAGCTTTTATGTCAGAAACAATGATTTATAGCGCTCCACGTCGAGTCGTATTTAAAAACGCCTTTTGTCCGCCTTTCGCCAGGCGAATTCTGGCCTTTTGTTTAGCTACCGCTATTTGTTATGCTTTTCAGCTACTCTTGCTCTCTCTCCATCTCGCTCACACTATATATAGCAATACAGTTTGATAGCCATTGCAAATACTGCACAAATATCAGCTGAAGCTAAAGGTTTCCTTATTAGGAAATCTCTAAGACACGACTGCAAAGCGAATTTAGCCTACGACGGATTTGTGAAAATGTGTGCAACAGACAGAAGAAGGCGTGGCAAAGTCCTTCAGGTATATTAATCCCGAATCAGGACGACAAGCTTAGGCAATATGGACGAGTCCTGGGGTTCGTCCTGCTCAGTGTCTGTGCTTCCTTAAGCCAGAGACGTCAAAGCTTATAGAAGAGAATTGAGTCAAGCGAAAGAGAAGCAGAGAAATAGCAGAAAGCAAAGGAAGGAAGCGAAGGGCAGAAGCGAATGCCCAAGTGAAAAGCTAAAAGCCATAGAAGAGACAGAGCGAGAGAGTAGTAAAGAGCAAGAGAAAGAGAAAAGAATTAAAAGATAACAGCGAAATGAAAGCATTACAAATTAGATAATACCAAATGTCGCCACATCGCCACAGGCTAGAGCACAATATACCCTGAAGCCAATGAAAATATCAATTCAGATTCTTCAAATCTTCAATATATATATATATTCTCCACAAAAGATGAAAACTTTAAGCTCACTGCGCTGTTGCCTTTAATGAATGCAGAGATTTTGTATATTTAGTATTTTGAATGCCTCACCCCACGCATTAAGTCGAAATTTGCAAAAATATTTCAAGTACTGGAGACTTGTGCTTTGACAAATACACACGTTTGGCTGTCATCATCACGCTCTGAAAGTTTGTTAAAGAAATTCCATCTAGAAGAAAAGTTATTCAACAATTAAGTTCCCATAGTAAGGGCCATAAGGGCAGCCCAAGCGCAGTCGCTGCGCAGTTAGCAGAGCACGTGCCTGTGTGTGTGTGGATGGGTGTTTGTGTGTGTTGCTTGCTATGTGTGCACAAAAGAAGCTTCGAATGATTGAAATAGCAGCTCTGCTTTGGCTTCAGGGTATCTCCCAGTCAGGCACTCCCAACGAGAGCTCTCCCATTTGCTTGGGCTAAGTTTTCCTCCAAGTGCTCCGACCATCTCCACCATATCTCTGCCTGACTCGTGGCCATTCGATGATTTATGTATTAAATGTAGCTAATTCATATAAACTGCTTCGCTTCTAGCGGATGGCTACGCACATGGCGGTAGCAAACGTCGCTTGTTTGGCTCCTGCGATGGACGGCGACATCTTTACTGTATGCGCAGTGCCTCGGTCAAGTCAGTGCGACATCAGCAGCAGCAGCAGCAGCAGCAGCAGCAGCAGCAGCAGCAGCAACAGCAGCAGCTGCACCTCAGCGGATCCGGCGACTGTTGCGGTCGACTACAGCGAATGCGGCAACAGCAGCAGTTCTACATGAGCTCAGGCAAGGATGGAGAGAGACGCAAGTCGCTGTCCACGCCCAGTCTGCGCATCACAGAGGCAACGCTGCGCAGGTAAGTGAGACGGACAGAACACAGCCTGGGCGTCTGCTTAACATGCCGATACGCTTGCTTGCAGATCCAATGAGAGCAAGAGCTTGGAGAGCAAGAAACGTGTGGTCAAGATGCTGTTTGTGCTGGTGCTGGAGTTCTTCATCTGCTGGACGCCGCTGTATGTGATCAACACAATGACCATGCTGATCGGACCCGTGGTGTATGAGTATGTGGACTATACGGCCATTAGTTTCCTGCAGCTGCTGGCTTACTCCTCCAGCTGCTGCAATCCCATTACCTATTGCTTCATGAACGCCAGCTTCCGGCGCGCCTTTGTGGACACCTTCAAGGGCATGCGGCTGTGCAACGGAGGCCGCTTTCGTTTCTGTCGACGGCGCTCCAACAACAAGACGAACTTGTCCGTTGCCGGAAATTCGATTGCACTGGCCAATTCAGTGATGTCTAGCCACACCATACTGGAGAGTCCGCGGCTCTGAGGCAGTCGACGTCAGCAGACGTCTATAAAATTGCGTTCGCTGACGCGGATGCCAGACAGGGATAGGGACAGAGATAGGGACAGGGAGAGCGTCCACATGAGGGCGGGATGTCGCACGAGCGTGGGGCTAATGGAAACGGAGTCACTATAGAGGACAACAGCTCCCTAAAGTAAAAGTATGTGATGTGCATGAAACTGAAACTGTGGTTGTCAACGATTCTACTCCAAGTAAGTTGTGTTTGGTATGGATAAAGGATATATTATACACATATATGTCTGCTTATATATGTGTACGATTATTGGGTTTCAATGCATGAAGCTAACAAATACATAACTAAAAGCTATCTTTAATAATATTCCATCACTTCAGAGCTGTTGCATTGTCTTTTATTGTAAATCTAATTGTTAAATGTAAATTGTTAGACTTATCCTGGCAGCGTTTCAGTGTTTATACAAATGTCTTTTTTTTTATGAATATATATAATATAATTACTATATATATATATGTACACGCAATCACGACTAAGATTAACCAACAATTTTAAAAGTAAATCTACTTAAAAACCAATTTATTATAGCTATAAGAAACAAGAAACAACTCAGCTGCAAATCCTTCGAATTGTAACTAGAAAATGTTAAAACTGTTCACCTGATCAGGCGACAGCAAATGTACGAGAAAAATAATTGATAGACGCCCACAAAGTATTAATAAAATTAATAAATATATATATATATATAGATGTACTTGAGCAGAGTGAAACAAAACAAAAAAAAAGAAATTTCTTAAATCTTCATGTTTAAAGCAAAAATATTCCTTCTGGGCGAGCCCAAAAACCTTGGCGCGTTTCAAGCCGTCCGTTGAACTATTTGTCATTTAGCTAAGTGTTGCTAGAGAAGAAAGCGAATTAACTAAACTTAAGTAGAGCTGGTTCGAGACCCACACTCTAGAACCTATACATACATAAGCAAAGACAAGGTCTCTGAATAGAATATCTTTATGTGTCTATGTGTGTTTTAGAGAACTTCAAGATTTTCACTTCGGCACATCTCAACGAACTTACGAAGTGCAACTCAGCAATTCATATGTAAAATAGCAATAAATGTTTTATGAAAATACCAAATGCGAAAGCGAGACTAATTTCAATGCATACTTTTAGGCGCTTCTCTTTGCTGGGTGGGCGAGAACACATTCACAGTGAATTAATTTGAGCACTCCCGACGACTGCTCTGCCTGCTATTGATTGCCCATTTGAAGTTAATGAGCAGCGACGGAATGCGAACTCAAGTCTCTATGCCTGCCTGTTAGCTGCTTGCCGTGTTGGCCATTAAGCCGAAGACAAAGGCAGCGTCAGTTAGTGCCATAAATAATGACCAGGCGGCAGGATGTGTGGAGCCGGCAGATGCCTCAGAATAGAGCTCTATGTGCCAGCAGAAATCAATTACCGCCTGACCGCAATAAATGAGGTGCATGTGGCTGCGCCCTATCTCTCTCACACACTCTCCCTCTCCCTCTGTGCGCATTGCTGTTGCATATGCTGATTTGTGGCTGGAGCCCAATGCTGCCTAGTTGACTACATAAGGCAACATGACAAATCATTTTAATGGAAATGGATTTATTTTCCACAGAGCAACGATTGCTAGAGGCAAATTACTAAGCAAAAGACAAAGCTTTGGCTCATTAAATAATGAGAATCACAGAGAAGAGCAAGTGTGTAAATACAAGTTTCAGTTTAAGCTGGGCTAGTGCTGGCAACAACTCTACGCTATGATAAGTCACTGTCGGCTTGGACTCATGTCGCTCAGCACGAGAAGATGTGTAACATATCACGTAATGTCCAAAGACCTAGCTAAAAAAATCGATTTTTATCGGTGAAATTTAATGAAATTTAAATGGAAAGAGTTATCGAAAAAAAATAAATCAACAGGCATAGATCGATTCAGCTCGTCATTCCAATAGTATTTACTATATATAAATTTGTGATATTGTAGAGAGATATAGATAATATAGTCTTCATGTCGGCCACGCCCTCATCTCCAGTTACTTGACGAGGACATGGTATATATGTAAGTCATACATGCTGTATATATATGCATATATAGCTCATATAGATAACATATTGGTCACGCCCTCCTCAAGTAACTAGCGATGGGGGCGTGGCAGAAATGGAATCCACAATGCACAGCAAACATAATACCCTGTAATCACATTGTCAATGGGTATGCAAATACATATTATTATATATAGATACACGCACACACACACATAGTGAAGACAGCTGAAGCCGTAAATTCATGAGAATCGCATAGAGAAGACATGCATAGCCAAATGACAGCTCGCTCGAGCAGTCCCCGCTTGATGCATTACATAAGGATGAGCCCTGCCATGTCCTTTAGGACTGATCATATTTTAGACCGTCGATAAATGTTGATTGTTTATTAATGGAAAATGCTAGAAGCATACCCTTGTGTGCTTGCTGTTTGCTGTTTATTAATAGGCCAGGGCTTGTGGCCATGCTTTGGGCCATGAATGGCAGCTGCTGCTGAATCGTGGCGCATTCCATTAGCACATTCGTCCCTCGATTTGTCACAATTGCAATGGGCCATTTGCTGCGAGCCCCCCTAACTGAGTGGAGCGCGCGCCTGACGTCAGCTGGCCAAGTGTCCTTAGCTGTGTTGTCGTTGTCGTTGTCGTTGTTGAGCCGGGTCTACGTGACAATTACCACAGTTATTACACGTAATGAGTACAGCGACAGCATGCAAACAAACAGAGGCTGTGCGAAGGCGAAGGCGAAGGCGCCAGCGACAGCGACAGCGACAACCCCAGCGCCAGCGGAGGCGTGTGCGAGACGTCAGCAATGGCTGACAGGGGAATTATCTAGTATTTGTTTTTGTTTCTGCACACTGATGAAACCTTCTTGGAATTGTAATCAGATCACGGCCAGCAGAGAGGCAGCGAGACAGCGAGCGAGCGAAGTAGGTAGAGCGACATGTGTAAGACTTTCAGGAAGATCGCTGGCTGCCGCAGTCCTTGGCGCAAAGGCGACCCAGTTTTTGTTTTTACCTGAGCCAGTTGTGCGAATTCCCAAGCAATTCAAATTCAAATAAACATGCATAATATTCCACTTACATAAATGGCCCGCCCCTCCATTCGCAGCTGGCCATTCCGGTTGACATTAAAGCAGCCCATTCGTTCCGAGCAACTGCATTAACTTATTTATTCACTAGACATTTATTGCTTGCGGCATGCCCACATAGACACAGCCGGACACAGCCAGAGACAGCCACACGCACCAGCCCAGGTGCTTGCTAATGTTCTGGCGAAAATCTTTTGCCGTAAGCTGAGCGCTTTGCCAGGACTTGGCCAAGAAGTGAATAGTAATTAAAGCGCTGGCCCAAACACACACATTTCCGCAGTTCCCCAAACTAAAAGGCAATTATTTATAAATTATATATATTCATATATATATATATATATATATATAAATATATACGCCTCTTTATACACACTCATATAACATGAACAACAAACATGCTGAACGCAAGAAGAGCAAAGCAAAATATTTGGCTAGCTGCAACAAGACGAATTTCAAATACAGTTCACATGCTGCAATATAGATAGGCGCATATATATATATATATATATGTATATATATCTATTGCAGTGCATAAAGCTATTCAAAAGCTAAAGTTAACTGATTTCATATTCAACTATAGAAACTTTGATAAGCTGAAGCAAGCTTTTGACCAAAATTCAGTCTAGGCTTTGGAAGTTCTCTCGCCTGTTCGCTATAAGAAAATCTTAGCGATGTGCAACAGGCAAGAGGCAAGAGGTCAATGCACGCACGCTCTTATGTAATCGGCTGACTGGCCAAGGGGGCGGCAGCTGTAGGAATAGGCGGAACTGTAGCTGTGTCCGTCTCAGTCTCCGGCTCTGCGGCAGGCTTTCGACTCTGGGCCATTGATTACGACATTTACATTTGCTTCTTTTTTTTTTTTGTATAAAACGCACTTATTTTAAGTTGAACAGCAAACTCTTATCGAGCAGAGTTATTGAAGGCGTTCAGCGAATGCCTAACTGTGCATGCGCCTGTTGCCCATCAAGTATACGCACGGAGGGCCCGTAAGGCAACGGCATGGCGACCTTGACCAGCTTTATTTTTTGTTGTTGTTCATGTTGCTGCCGCTGCCGCTGCTACTGCTGCTGCCGCTGCTACTGCTGCTGCTGCTGTTGTTGTTGTGGCTGTATTTTTGTGATTTTGTTAATCGTCTTCGATGGCAAACGGCGACCGCGACTCACTTGAAGGCGGATTTGCGCAACGGACGCGCCCTTTTTGCCCAATTATACAATTGCGACGCCGTTACTTGAGTTTCGCTGTTCGCTGTTCGCTGGTTGCTGTTCGCCGTCTTCGACAACCGTGCGAGTGGACTTCAGTTGAACGGGTTATTCGTATTGTATATTAATTATGCTGTTTATCTGTCGCAATTTTTTAAAACGTGGCTCAGCTATTTGGAGAAGTTTCGCGGCTCATTTCATGCAGTTGACCTTCGCGCACAGCGAAATTAGTTGGCGACTTCATTTGGCTTCGTTTTATTTCATTTTGTTAATATTTTTTATTTCTTATTTCTTTACCTTTGCCCATACTTGCAGCTTGAATTTTAAATGCCTGCAATTGTAATTTAAGCGTGGTGAAAGTTTTCAATTTTTTTTTTTCATTTTCTTTTGTTTTATTGTTGAGCCTACCTTAAAAAAGGCTTAAAACAATTTCATAAAATGTCACAGCTGCAATGATTGAATAACTGCGCGTAAGCGAAATCTTAGCTTTAATTCAATTTCTTGTCTTTTATACGAGTAGCGCGAGCAGCGAGCGAAACGCCCTCTATCGGCCACACGACACAAACTCTGTAGATCTTTAGCCAAGAACAGAACCAGCCGCTGGGAACATTTTCGTATTGTATAAGAATTTTCTTCGAGTGCGATTTTATGGGTATAGAATGGGAATGCAGGGTATTACTGTTGAAATTGAAATGTAAGTAACGGGCAGAAAGAGGCGTGGTAAACTCCATAAATATATATATATATATATATTCTTGAGCAGGACAAGCCGAGTCGATTGAGCCCTCTCTGTCTGTCTGTATGTGTGAACGTGTCGATCTTAGCATCTATAAGAGCAATAGATTAGACTAGACATCCATGTATAGCACACGCATATCAAGTTTGTTTCAAATAATCGATAACTGTTCCCGTTTAATTGTTATCGATTAAGAACATGATCGAAATGCAGCTAATAAATTATATCCCCTACGGCTTAAGAGCTAGAGCCACCAAATTTTGTATTTGATGTGAATCTTATACAATTTTAATTTTTGTTACCGACTCTGTTAATTTAACGTTTTTAAATCAAATTTTAGCAGTTGTAATATTTAAAAATGTTATGAAATACTTGTTAAAAAAAAATTCTTCTAAAGCCTGTTTTTTTAAGAGCTGACAAAAACAGAAGCCCCTATTTAGTGCGCCTTATGGGCTGCCGAAGTCATTGTTCTAAATGTATTCAGAAACTATAAAATTTTCAAAATGGCCAAAATCATATTTAAACAGAAATGTCATATCATTTGCTAAACAGGTAATTTCATTTTATTAATATTAAACATAAATGTCATTATTTATTTAAAGCTTAAACTTGTATAGCTCTAAAAAAAACCCAATAAATATATCTCACTAAGCTAAGCATAAGACTAATAATTTAAGTAGCCGCTGCGCAATAAAATTTGTTTTGTTGTAATTAATTATATAATTAATAGTAGTAAAATGATTAGCATTTGTTGTTTTTACAATAGGTACTATGTTAGTATATACTATTAGTAGTATATACTATAACTAGTTGAGCTTAGTTGAAGCTAAACTCAAGTAGTCGTAGTTGTAGTCGTCTATATATGCTATAAAAGTCATTGGTAAAGCGATTTCTATTATAGTCAAAAACAAAAACAACATTTTGATCCCGTTATCAGTATTAATATTATAAACGGCGCTCACCTGTCAGGCATTTCCATGCCCAAGTACAAATTCCTTGAAAATTCTAACTAAATAGATTAAGCCTAACGAACGGCAAATAAGAGAACGAAATTTGAAACAAAAAGTCGATTACTAGATACCCTGCAATTCCTCTCTTTGCTGTGTGTTTGAATACTTTTGCTGCTGCTGCTGCGATCAGGGCATGCAGAT